CATGGAGAGTTACACAGGTGAAAAGGAGAAAGCACCCTCATGTAGTCTGGGTAGTGAGGTCCTTAGCAACAGATGTTGCCGAACGGTACGCTTGTCCTTCAAATGTAACCCAGACCGCATCTTCGGTCCGTAAGCGTCTGCGGAGCTCGCGCATCATCTTCTCTTGTGTCGTGTAGCCATCTCGGATGAACCCTTGTTTCGGACAAATGTGACATCGAATTTATCATGCGCACTTATCATTCTCCGATCAGTCAAGGCAGTCCCTTAGGGAACGACACATGAGCGCAGGTAGACAAGGGGGGGGGGAATAAGGACCGCAAGCGTGGCCGCGTGGCATTGAAGTCGCAGGCGATATAGACTCCCCTTCAACCTTGGCAAGAGCTCAACACGACGCCGAGCCGCCTGTCACCAATGCGCAGTGCCCATACGGGAACTTTAAGGGGCCGCGTTGCGACAGGTATACATCTCGTTTCAAATAGCCACTTCGACTAACCATCCTTTCCTGGTTAGTTATCCGTGAAACGACAGACCATAGATACACAATCGTCCACGTACGAACTCGTATAAACCTTGGCATCAAAGGTCTCCTATGGTGCACTGCTACAGCCGGAACAAAAATTACAGTAACTTTATTCGGTTTACGTTTCTGCGCTATCACCTTCGTCAGGGCTTAAAATGCGGGACAGGTTTCGGATGAGACCTCCGCTCAACCTGCTGTGCACTTTGGATTCTGACGGAAGCGATAGCCCCAAAACGCCGACAATAAAGTTACTGTATCACCTTGGTTCCGGCTGTAGCAGTACACTGGAGAGCACAAACACCCGCTACAGCCCAGTCATACTCAACTGTTTATACTGTTTCCTGAGAGGGAGCCCGATGGTCAGGCTCCCTCTCAGGAAACATTGGAGCGCCATGGTTTCCCATTGCGCGAGTTGTGCACCCGAAGTGATTGTCAGTCACCCACGTGCCCAGTATGCCAGTATGCGCATTTCTGAGTTCTAGCAAAGACAAACACTAGAAAATGTTGCAGCGATTAGTGCCCGCGGAGTACATAACAAATTCTCAATTTTACCCTTGAACGATTACGATAGAAAAGCACTCTAACGTCTATACAGTGTAGGAGGAACGGTATAAGGGGGGGGGTGGGGGGAAGCGGGGTGAAGCAGGAGGCTCATCAAGTTTGAAGAAACTAGTGGGAAAGATATAACGTAAGAATCAAATGCTTCGGGAACTCAAAGCAAGAATGCTACTCTGATTTTGAGACACGTACAATTAAGAACTTGTTTTCCATCATTGTGAGAT